GGTGGTGTGGGTGGGTGCGGGGGTGTTTCTATACCATCATAAGTTGACATTCCTTTATCTAATCCTGCTTGTTGGCTTTCGATTATCCATGTAGGTTAGCAAATTTGTTTCCTGAATTTCTGTCGATACACTATTACAAGGCAAGATTGAGAAGTTCCCTAAGTTCAAGATGACACTAACGTGGTGCAAGATGGGATCTCGCTGCCCTAAAAAAGAAGCAAATCAAGACAAGCTTGACTGGTTGTTAATTGGGAAATAAGCTGCTCAGTGTTTCTACCAAGTTCGCAAGAAACTAAAAACTATTTCCCTTTCTTTCTGGATAACCAACCCATGATGTGTGTTTAGAATTCAGAAGATACAGAATTCAAGGTATTATTATCAAGGTAAACATTAAAACCATATCATAAAGGAGAACAGGATTAGGCCTAATGATCACCACCCTTGTCAATAAGCTTACCATTAGACCTCGCCGTGCCAATTGACTTGGTGGATGATGAAGATGATATGACAGACCTGTCGAACTCTTGTTTATCTTCATTGAATGCCTTGCTTAGAGCTTCCTGGAGCTCAAGGTGTCTCTGTCTCTTCACAAGTCGTTCCTCTGAAGTTTCATTCCCTAAATAAGCTATCTGTGATAGGTCATCAGCATCCATGATTTTGTTGAGTACGTCTGAGCAACGTGGGAAAAACCGTTTCCCAAGTTCCACTGTTAACAGAAAATTGATAAACTATGAGATGTCAATCTAGAACTACATGGAAAGATAAACTTGAAGTTCGAATACAAAGCAAATGGCATGGTTTCCAGCTTTTGCTCCAATGGTGTGTGGATGGAACAGTGCATTAGCCAATTGAACTAGGGCAGTCAAGCTCCTTCAGCAATGCTAACTCAAGTATTGAAGGAAAAGCAGTTTCAATTCATATATGTGTAAGCATAAGAACCTGTTCTAGAGAGTGCTCTCATCCTATTTAGATGCTCCTCGTGCATTCTGAAAGGTGCCTCGTTCAAGTCCACAGCTCCCCTTTGTGCACCAGACAAGATGCTGGGCCTGGTGCCACCAAATGGAAACTCAGAAGTACCATCAACTTGAGCAATATCCATCGCAACTTTTGCTTCCATGGGAAAAAGGAGTTTTGCCAGTCCAACTGAAAGAACAATAACATCAATCTTCATATTCTGCGTTTTGCTTTCATTTATCGTAGTCATTAAGCAACGGAAACAGGATTTACTACCATTTCAAGATAGATAACTGTTTGCTATCATCCCCCAAGGATTATCAACTAAAGTATGCAAATCTAAAACAAAGATTTATTTCCCATGAAAGAAAAGGGAACAACTTCATTAGCAAGAAAAAAAAAAGAAGGGAAAAACGATTGTTATATTTCCCAAACCAGTAAGCAGATGAACTTTAGCACTGATAGCATCTGACTATACAAAGCAAAATATTAACATGGAATAATGAAACTTAAAGCAAGCATTCTGACTGGAGATATGAATCTAGTAGCAGCACCACGTATATTCAACAGAAAACTTATTGCATAGCTTCCATAAGATTTTTTAACCACAAAAAACCAGATCCTTAGTACTCAAAAGTTAAATCACAAAAAGTCAATCAGAATGATCAAATGCTCTTTGCAATAAGCTATAGACAATAGACGCCAAAAGCACGTCTCATCAGACAATTCAACTTAGAAAGTTCTTTGGCTTAAGCATTTCATTCTGGCAGAAAGGCTTGATGCGTAAAGAGAATTTAACTCCACAAAAGTGGCTGGCTAAAGAACAAGTAGAACTAGATATGCATGACAATAAACTGCAGGAAGGTACAAGCTAAGATTCCAAGAGACAGAATAAATTTTGTAATCACAGAATGAAGACATAAATATGAAGAGAGTGGATTATAAGTCCCTGTATATCGTTCACATTGTAGATTCCATGGTGATAGAAATGTGTTAGATGGAATATGAAAAAGGATGCCGACACGAGACAATGTTTTTTATTCTGTCCAATATAAGACAAAGACACCAGGTGTGTCATCGTACCATTAGTTTGCAAACAGATAGCTAAAGGATAACAAATCCTGCAGTGAATGGTATAAAGATCAAGTTTTACAACGCCTCCAATTGTCAGTTAGGAAAGAGCAACCAGATGAACAAGCATAAGTGGCAATAGCTAAGTAATTCCAAATCCAATCAATGAGCTGAGGTTGAACCAACGAGAGAGACTAGAAAATTATCACAATGAGCATGTGAACAGTGTTTCACTTGTAGGGAAAAAATTACTGTGTTTTTTGTCCTCAATGACTTGCCAAAGCTCTCATTGTTAATAAGGTGGAGATAAACAATATCCCATCTACATTATATACAAGTGGGAACAACTAATCTCTCATTTAGCATATGATAAAAGCTTAATTTAAGACATACATCATGACATGATTTATAGTCTTTACTCCAGCTTCATCTATATATATATATATATTTAGTGAAGAGCTGCGTATGTAATGAGTATAGAGAGAACAAGATAGAGAGAGAGCTTGAGTGAAAGTGAGTTGAGTAGAGAAGAGTTTTCTCCTCCTCCTTGTTTGTATCGTTTCTTTGATAGATTACTATAAACCACTAACTCCGTGGAGTAGACAAGTTATTGAATCACGTAAATTTATGTGTGTGTGATTTTTGGGATGTCTTAACAACTGGTATCAAAACTTGTTCTTAAAAAAGAGTGTTTGATCCAAACCCAGAAATCAAAGTTCTCAAAACGTGTTTTTGAATATACCATCATGTAGGGAACGACGAGACAAATCCACTAGTGAAACTCTAGCTAAGAACCCACGTCCTGCATTCCCACACGCGCCGATATCAGGACAAACCCATGTGCACAGACGCGCCAACACGCGCTGCACGCTCCTTCTTCACCCGAATACCTACAACTGAATCGGGTTGACCCACCACCAGCCAGCCAGCAAATATAGCAACAATTCTGCATAGGCAGCAACCACGTAACCGACATGTCAACTTAAATTCCATGTGGATCTGCCACGTCATCAGTTGTGGACCCGTATTGCTTACTTGTTTGACAAGTCATCAGGCCACGTCATCATATTGAGTTTTGATCTGGTATATTGCAGGTACTATTTCAATTGACATGGGCTTTATCTGCACCATCCATTTATTTAAAAATTTGATTGATCAGATCTGAGCCGTCCAAAGTCCGATTTGGGTAATTTCAAAGTCGTTTCCAACGTTTCCGGCCACTCTGGACACAATCATAAAGTCCAATTCGCAAATTCTAATTTAAAGTTAGCGAAAATGTAAGATGAAATAAAAGCTGCTGGAATTGAAAAATTTAATGGGACAGATTTTGGATATTAAAAAAGGCAAATCGAAGACTATCTATATGGGAAGAAACTTCATCTGTCTTTTTTGGAGAGCAAACCAGAGAATATGCAAGAAGAAGATTGGCTAATTCTTGGTAGATAAGTTTTGGGCATTATCCAGCTATCCTTATCAAGAAGAGTTGTTCACAATGTTACAAAAGAAAAAGCCACTGCAAGATTAATAAAAGCCTTGTCTGAGATGTATAAGAAGCCTTTGGCAAATAATAAAGTGCACTTAATGAAAAAGTTGTTCAACTTGAAGATGATAAAAGGCACCTCTGTTACACAACATCTCAACAACTTCAATACCATCACAAATCAATTGTCATCTGTTGAGATTGAGTTTGATGATGAGATTCGCAACTCATTTTGCTAGCTTCACATCCAAACAGTTGAGAAGGTACGAGAACAGCCGTGAGAAACTCAGCCAGAAAATCCAAACTAAAATATGATGATATCCAAGATTTGATTTTGGCTGAAGAAGTATGAAGGAAAGACTTAGGCGAAAGTTCAAGTTCAAGTTCAGGTTCAACTTTCAACATCAACACTTGAGGGAGGAGACAAGATAGAGGCTTATTTAGAGGCAGATCAAAATAAAGATACAAAAGTAGAAGCAAGTCTGGACTCGAAAAGCAGGTTGAATGTTGGAATTGTGGCAAATCTGGTCATTACATGATGAGTTGCACAAAACCGAAAAAACCTAAAGCTGACTACAAATGTTACCACATATGAGGTACAACATGCTTTGATTCTTGCTGTACATAGTTCAATTGATGATTGGATTCTTGATTCTGGTGCTTCATTTCACTGTAAACCACACCACGAAATGGTACAAAACTATGTCGCTAAAGATCACGGTGTAGTTTATCTAGCTGATGGAAAATCAATAGATATTGTAGGCATAGAAGATGTGCAAATCAAGACAATGAATGGATCAATATGGAACTTATAAAATGTAAAACATGTTCCTGGATTAAAGAAGAAACTGATCTTCGTTGGATAGCTTGACAATAATAGTCATTCAATCCCTTTTTTTAAGTATATGGAAAGTATCAAAGGAAGCAATGGTTTTGGCTCATAGAAAGAAAACTAAAACCTTATATATGACCACAAGATTTGCAGGCATTATTACCTCTACTGAAGCAGAAAATCAAGCACAGCTATGACACTGTAGACTCAGCCATATGAGTCAAAAGGGGATGAAGATAATTCAGTCAAATGAAAAGCTGCTAGAGTTAAAAAAATATTGATCTAGACATTTATGAAAGTTGTATTCTTGGAAAAAAAAAAGAAGAAGCTCAATTTCTTAAAGGTTGGCAAGACTTTAAGACCAAAAAAGTTAGAACTGGTACACATAGATTTATGAAGACCTTCTCTAGTTGCATCTCTTAAATGTTATCGGTATTATGTGACTTTCATTGACGATTCCAGCAGAAGGTATGGATATACTTTCTGAAAAATAAATCTGATGTGTTTGAAACATTCAAGAAATGGAAGACTATGGTTGTGATTGAATCAGGTTTAAAGTTGAAATGCGTGAGATCTGATAATGGAAAAGAATACATTGATGGAGGTTTCAAAGAGTATAGCGTTGTCAAAGGGATGAAAATGGAAAAGACCGTTCTAGGCACAACACAACAAAATGAAATTGTTGAACGAACAGGACCATCAATGAACAAGCTAGAAGCATGAGGCTGCATTAAAGGTTACCTCAAACATTTTGGGCCGACGCAGTTTGTATTGTAGTTTACTTGATTAACCGTTGACCATCAGTTCTTTTGGAGTTCAAATTACCCGAGGAAGTATGGAGAGAAAAAGAAGTACAACTCTCTTATCTAAAAGTCTTTGGGTGTGTTTTCTATGTTCATGTAGATTCTGATGCTTGCAACAAGCTAAATGCCAAATCCAAGAAATGTTTTTTTATTGGCTATAAAGATGAAGAATTTGGATTTCGGTTCTGAGATGATCAGAATAAAAAGATTATCAAAAGCAGGAATGTGATCTTCAATGAGAAAGTTTTGTACAAAGACAAATCAAGTGTAGAAACAGATTTGGCTGATTCAAATATAAGTCCATAAAAATCTGAATTCATAAGATTAGAAGGACTTCCTAATGTTACTAAGCAGAACAAAAATTAAGATCCTTTACAAGAAGATTCAAGCACAGGAAGATACAAAGCCAAGTGAACCTATTGTTTATGTTCGTACCACCGCACAGGAAGATACAGAGCCAAGTGAACCTATTGTTTATGTTCGCAGGTCTTCAATAACTGTAAAGCCCCTACAATGGTTCACACTTCTACTAAATTATATTTTGCTGACAAATAGTGGTAAACCACAAACTTATAAAGAATCATTACAAGATGAAAACTAAAGCAATTGGGAGTTAGCCATGAAGGATGAGATGGATTCTTTGTTAAAGAACAAGACTTGGGAGCTAAGCACACTGCTTGAAGGAAAGAAAGCTTTGCAAAACAAGTGGGTTTACATAATAAAGACTGAGCATGATGGAAGCAAACAGTTCATGACAAGACTTGTTGTAAAAGGGTTTCAACAAAAGAAAGGGATTGACTACTCAGATATTTTCTCCAGTTGTAAAGCTCACAACAATCAGAGTTGTTTTAAAGATAATAGCTGCAAAAAATTTACATCTTGAATAACTAGATGCAAAAATAGCATTTCATAGTAACTTGGAGGAAGACATTTATATGCAACAACTAGAGGGGTTTACAATACAGGGAAATGAGAAACAAGTCTACAAGCTAAAGAAAAGCCGATATGGTTTGAAGCAAGCTCCAAGACAGTGATACAAGAAGCTTGACAACTTCATGTGTAGTTCAGGGTACACAAGATGCCAAGCTGATCATTGTTGCTATGTCAAACATTTTGACAATTCATACATCATTCTACTAATATATGTAGATGATATATTGATTGCAAGATTCAGCATTAAAGATATTGACAAGTTGAAACAACATTTGTCAAAACAATTTGAAATGAAGGATCTGGGAGCTGTTAAACAAATACTTGGCATAAGAATTATCAGGGATAAAGACAAAGACATACTAAAGCTTTCACAAACAGAGTATGTCAAGAAGGTTCTCAGCATATTTAATATGGATAATGCTAAACTAGTAAGTACATTTCTGGGGAATCATTTCAAGCTAACAAAAACCAATCGCCAAAAACTAAGCTAAAACATGGATACATGGATAAGATTCTATATGCCTTAGCTATCGGCTCTTTGATGTATGCTATGGTCTGTATCAAATCAGATATTGTTCATGCAATGGGAGTTGTAAGCTGATATATGAGCAATCCTGGAAAGCAATATTGAAAGGCGATGTTGATAGAAGAAAGAGCATTACAGGATATGTATATACTCTAGGAGATATTACTGTTTCTAGGAGATCAACCTTGCAAAAGATCGTCGCTCTTCAAATAATAGAAGCTAAATATGTTGCAGTATCAGAATCTACAAAAGAGATAAAATGGTTGCAAAGTTTCCTGAAAGAATTGGGCAAGATGAATGGAAAGGTACTCTGTATAACGACAGTCAGAGTGCAATCTTCCTTGCCAAGAATCTAGCATTTTACTTCAGGACTAAGCATATTCAGATCAAATATCACTTTATCCAATAATTGTTAGATGATAAACAACTAATGCTAGAAAAGGTCTATGGAAGTAAGAATCCAGTTGACATATTAACCAAAGGAGTTACACTTGATAAACTGAAGTTATGTAAAACTTCGGTTGGTTTTCAAGGATAAAAAATAATTTTATTATTTGTCTCTAAATGAGAGATTGTTAGCAAAGTGGAGACAAACAATGTTCCAATTCCACTATATACAAGTAAGAATAACTAATCTCTCACTTAGCACATGATAGAGACTTAATTTAAAACATAAATCATGGCATGATTTATGGCCCTTGCTCCCAGCTTCATCTGTATATATATATTCAGTGAAAAGCTGCGTGTGTGGTGAGTACAGAAAGAACAAGATAGAAAGAGCTTGAGTGAAAATGAGTTGAGTAGAGAAGAGTTTTCTCCTCCTCGTTGTTTATATTGTTTCTTTAATAAATTAATACAAACCAGTAGCTTTGTGAAATAGACAAGTTATCAAATCATATAAATTTATGTGTGTTTGATTTCTGAAATATCCTAACATTTATATGTAATGAATGCCTTTTTTTTCTTTTTCATTAAAAAATAAGTTATATGAACTTCAGGTTGATATAGTATATAAGGCAAATGTTCAACACAAAAGATTCATGTCGTGAAATTATCAAAACACAATTGAAAGGGTTAAAACTAAAAAGAAATGATAGTATTGATTGTAACAAGACAGATATAAGCGAGGCATAATACTTCAAAGGAAGAAATATGAACATAATGAAAATTACCTCTATTTTCGAGGTACAACAATTTCATTCTCAGGTCATCACCAGCCATAGCAAGAGAAAGAGAAGCCTCTCCAAGTAATGGATCCCTCATTTCTGCTTGTTCCAATATTTCTATACACAAGCGCTCCTTGGGAGAAGCTTTTCCTTCCTCTGTTGACTTATGATAATCCGTGGCCCTTGTAAGTCGTTTTGATATCTGCAGAGCCTTCCTACCATCTAAAGTAAGATCTGACAGCCGAGCTCCCTTCGTTAAGAGAGATACTATAATCTTAGGATCTTTCCGCATTGCAGCAACATGCAGCACGGTGTAACCCCTTGAATTTCTGCAGTTAACATCAGCTAATCCAAGATCAAGAATCTCAGTTGTAGTCTTTGCATCACAGTATGAAACAGCATAGTGGAGTGCATGCGCATCATCTAGATTAGTATGTGCCTCTTTCAGTAGCATTCTAACTAGCTCAACATCATCCGAGTCCAGAGCCCGATGTATTCTCTTTACATGTTTATCTAGTAAGTTACTGTTCCCAGGCACATTCAAACCAAGTTCCAAACGAGAATCCATGATTTTCTTCACAATGTACTGCGGCAAGGCTTTATCCAGAGTAACAATATCAACATTTGATTTCACAATAATCTCAACGCATCTTGTTAGCAATCTCTCACAAGCTTCACCGCATATGTTTGCAACTGCTAGAATCACCAAGATGTCATCAGCTGAAACCTTGTCAAGAATGTCTAATAGGTGCCTCTGCAATCAAACAAAATAGCCAACCTAAAATTAAGAGATGAAACTGAGCAAAATGTAATTGGATTCCGTAATTGTATTCCATTAGCAGAAACTATACAGGTTTCATTCATTTATATCTTCTGTAATAGCAATCGCCGGTTCCTTTGGAAAGGAATGTAACTCTATCATGTTAATCATTTTAAACTCTAATAAATTCAAATGTATCTGGTACCATAAATATCCATCCTAATATCATTAAATTTCAAAATGAGATTCATTTCCTTCCATGAGAATTAAGTTCATCTGAAAGCACCATGCCAATATGATCAGAACTGATGGGCTATCAATGATCAACTTGGATACATGATGATGGTCCTTCCAGTGCCTATTGTCTTAAATTATGTGCAGCTTTGGAAGATCTAAATACACTAGGCAAAACACACAGACAGTTGCATTTTTCCAAGAATAATACTCAGAAAAAGAAAACGTCCTTGGCCATTTGAATTTCTTCAAATCAATCCATAGTACTTTCTTGCCACCTATTTGAAGGTGACGTTGGCAGTATTTGGCAAGAAGAATAAGAAGAGGAATTCAACAACTACTACACAAACACACTTAGAAACTGCTACATGAAAAACACTGAGCAACAACTATAAAACAACGTTCGAAAGTAAATTCAGAATCAATCTCTTAACTCTTACCTGATAAAGAGCCACCAACTCATTAACCTGGAATGTAAAAGAGGCATAAAGAACCTCAGTCAGGAGATCCACTGCAGGCCTGCAAGCAATATGGGAACAATCATCATCCACACAAGCACAAACATCTTTAGGCCAAGGCCTCACTTTCCCACAATACAAATAACCCAAGACTGTCATAAGTGAATCAAATCCAACATCATAGTCCTTAGCCAATTCCTTCAATTCAAACTTTGCTACCCCACTTCTGTCTTTAGCCACAGGACTCGAGAAAACACTCTTGAAAAAAGGACTTCTCGCAGATAAAATGCACCTGTGAACTGGGACTTCATGGTTGTAATTGGAGCTTGTGATTTTGGCATCAGCAAAGTAGTCAAAATCTTGGGAGTCAAAGATTGTTTCAAGGTTTCCTGATAGTTGTTGAAGAGCTGCAATTTCTGGGTTTGTAAAAGGCTTTGAACTTGAGGGAGTTTCTATGCAGCAAGTACTACTTCCATTGCTGATCTCGTTAGAATCCGAGAAAACAATCCTATTATCCATCAACAACAGAAAGAAAACCAGAAACTATAGAACTTGGATTTTAAAGATTGAAAATTGGAGCAGATTGAACCTGTTTGAGACAAAAAGAAGCCAACTTTCTATACGAGAAGTCAGTGTAGAGAAACAGAAACAGAAACAGAGTTTTCATTCAAAAATTGGAAACAACTTTAGAGGACAAAAACTGTCGGTGCTTGATTCAATCAATCGAAGACTTTATAGGTTAATAGATATTTGGTGATGCACATAATACATGCAGAGAGAGCGGGGGGGTAAGCTGGGTACCATGGTCAACTAAGAACACGGGTGACGAGAAGAGGGTAAACAAAGAGACATGGAGAGAATATACATGGTACACAGTAAGCTCTTTTCTTTTTTGGTGGGTGTTGTCATGAATCATGATTTCAGTTAAGGATTCTGGATTATTTTTTTTCCCGTACATCAGGATCAGACCCTCATCACACTTTTTTCCGTACATCAGGATCAGACCCTCATCACACTCTTTTCTTGTTTGAGCTCAACGTATTCCATACTGATCGTTGATCTAATCCTGATCAAACGACTGGGGGTGTTTAACAGCCTAATGACTTTGTAGTGGTCCTTCTGTTGCTGGAGCTGCTACTATTGGCTATTGCATGGTTAAAATATGTTTTTGTCCGTTTTCTGCTTTCGTCACCTGCTCTGCCCTCCTTCTTTTTCTTATATAAATAGTATCATTTAAACAAGTCGTACATACATTAATTATTTAAGGTTAAATCCTACTCTCAAACCAGCGTAATGTATTCAGAAAAAATAAATAAATAAATAAATCTCTCAAAACTTGAATCCAAATAATTAAGAAATAGAATATATTTTGTGACAACTACTTGGGGAGAGGCATTTGCCACTACTGCTTTTGATTCTGATCTGACGTGTCTCTCATTACAAGACTTCGTCTCTGGACATATATTTTGTCATTAATTTGTCTTTGTTGGCCTGGCCAATCATTCCCTAGCTATGAGGGCAACATGTGATACAACTTCCAATTTATGATGACAGACTACAGCTGAACTCGTGTCAAGAATTTTCCAACTCCCGCGCTTCCAGTGTCAGAAACTAAGGTAGCCATGATGATGGCTCTACTGTCATCTCTTGTTTTCTTCTTGCCTTATTTGGTTCTGCTTTCATGATCCGAGTTATTTTCAATTGAACTGACAGGCATCTGTAGGCAAAGTGGTCATAAAAGAAAAGGATGGTTTTGCCGGCTAAACTTGATTACGTAAATGATTGTCGGCCACAACAACTGAGATTATAGGATTTCGGCTTCACAAATTAGGAGCAGAAGAGTTCAACTATGCGACTGGAAAGTTCATGCTCCACCAGTACTGCTCTTGAAAAAACAGAGGAATTAAGAAAAGTCCACTGCTTCATGCTTAAACATTCCACTTCATCAAAAGCTCTCTCTACTAGTTACTCAAGTATTTGGCGTGAATGACGAGGGGTGGAAGCTTACACTGCATAGGTTTTGTCATCTGATAATAGCCTGATGAGGGTGGCACTGAAGTTGACTAAATCTTCATTTTGTAAGATTTCTCTGAAGTGCAAAAAAGCAGAATTCTATTTGCTATCTATCAGAGAATGAAATGGTTTTTCAACGATGCATCAACTTAATAAAAATTATCAGGTTTAGTGGCATGCAGGCCCTCTTTTAAAGAAGTCTTGAGCTCAAAGCCACCTAGTTAATGGGGGGGAAAAAAAAAAGCTAACGGTGATGAAACCAAAATGTTTCTTGTAAAATTAAAATAGAATATCAGAGTTTTGTCATCAAAAACAGAAACTGTACTCAAGAATCTTGTCAAATGTAAACAAGAAAATCTGTATTACTAGATATTCAATAGATAAAATATACAGTAATGAAATGAAAAAATAAATCAAGTGAATTTCTATATTTCACCCATGGTATGAATTCTTACTGATTCATAGTTGTATTTTATTTTTCCTATGCTATAGTACATTCTCAAAAACAAACAAATATGAAAATTTTGCTATGCAAAAATGTTAAATTAATCTCTCTTACTACCCCAGTTAAAGGAGCAAATTTTTTCCAACCCTTTCCCAATACAAGCTCCAAAACCACCTTCCTTCTTAGGAGAAGACACAGAATTGCTGGATTCTTTCTTACGATGGATTGTTTGAACAAGGGCTTCGATTTCTTCCTTTGCTCGTTGGAAAACGCTTGGACCTTTGACTTGATCAATTGGGGTACTATCATCAATGTCATCATTCCTTCCATGAGTTTCTTTATGATGATGGAGTGGTGACTTGCCATGGTGAATGATTGCTTCAATCTCTTCCTTTGCTCTTTCAATTAGATTGGGTGCCTTTGCCTTGACATTATTCTCTGCTAATACAGGAACAGCATATATGCAAAATAAGTGGTTTGATTCAAAATCATTTAGCCATATTGAATCCATGTCAGACTCCAAGTTCAGATACAACAATACAGCTCATGTCAGAAGCCACTGCCTTGACATTATTTATGTTACCTATCCTAAACCTCAAGTGTGTTATCATCTTTATCAGGTTAGTACGAGCAGAAAAGATTGACAAGTTCTTCTTTAATTGTTATTACATATCGTTATCTAGTACCTAGCTTTCCTTGTAGCATTCCAAAGGTTATCTACTTCAGTGTATAATATGACAGATACTGCTCAGTGCTCACTGTCAAGTGAGGAGAACCAAAAACTTTCTAACATGTTTTGGTATCAGAGCCCCTGCAACAACGGAGAGAAAAAATGGCCACAAACAGCAACATCTCTACCTCCTCTAATCCAAATACCTAACATTTACTACCACCCAAAACATTCAAAAGTTCACCACTGTATGTCCTTGAGACTGACATGGCTTCAATATGGCTCAATAAAAAATAAAAAGAAAAAAAAAGTGAGAACATACTAGGATAGTATATGAATAGAAATAACAAGTGATGATTAACAATTGTTTTTTTTACTAGAAGACAATAAGAATTAGACTCCTCCCATGTTAGGAATCAAAAGTTAGCCTAAAAAGGTTTGTGCAGTTGGTCATTTAGCCTAATGCCACTGTCCAATTCCGAATGACACAAACCATTTAAGAGTACACGGGTCATAAGCTGAACTCTCTCTATAGATCACTAGCATCACAACATCTTAATCCATTGTAAGTATAAGAACCATGACAATACAACAAAAAGAAATCAAGTAAAGCACCTGCTTTCTCCAGTCTTGAAGATTGATGCCTGAAAGAACAGGAGAAGGCCACATAACAATAAGAAAGAATCCGAGCCCACAAAAGAACATCTAACATTGAGTTGTAATATATAAATGGTAATGAAGCAAGTGGGTTGTTGTCGATACTTCTCGTCATGATTATTTTCTGAGTAAATCTTGGTCTGAACAAGAGCCCCAATCTCTTCCTTTGATAGGGTGCTATCATCAAGGTCGACAGTAGGCATGGATCGATGAGTTTCTTTACGATATAACTTGAGGGTATAGCGTAATATCTATCCCTTAAAAAGTTGTGTTAATGATCGGGGAATTGAAGAAATCGTACCTGAAATGGGCTTGTTTTGATTCAGGTTCAGCCATTGATGTTTTGGTGAGATACCTCTTTTTTTCTCTCTTTTTTATTTTTATTTCTCACTTTGATTATCAGAAACCCGCGTACGCAGGCAGATGCAGAATAGTATATTACATGGGACGGAGAGATTGAAGAGCATCTTTTCAATGCTTTTACTATCTGATCTGACAGCTTGTACTTATGTAAATTTGGGCCCCGCCCTACGTCTGTGAGGGAATCTACTGTTCATTCGACCTCTGGTTTTCTTTTCTTTTTCCTAGGATTTTCTACGATTTCTTGGTGATTTGTTATCGACGTGCGTGTGTGTATAAAAATTTCAAGGCCTTCAGAATGTTCTGTTACTCGATAAAGTTTTGATTTTATAAAATAAATTTTAATTTAATTTAAAATAATTTTTGCTTCTTAACTAAATTTAAAGTTAAAAGAAATATTCAGTCTTATTTTTTTATTTATCAATATTATTTACTGATTTGTACTATTAAAAGAGAAGTTCATGTCACTTATTTTATTTTAGTCTCTTAACTATTTTTTAATTTGATATATTTACGTTGGTCTATTTGAAATTTGATTTAATAGTTTGTTTTTATTATTTTATTACAAGAATCTTGCAATATTAAACAAAGTTCTTAATGCTTACTTGATACTTAATTGTGTAAAATAAAATAAAATTTAGTTAATATAAAATAATTATATGTTAAAGGAATAAAATTGAAAATAAAACAAGTATAAAAGTCAGGATATACATGTAAGGAAAATAAGTTAGTGTGTGCAACATAAGCATTTAATGATGGGCGATGCCTATAGCATTCAAACAATGCATGAGAAGTCTCTTAATGACCAAACTAAAGCTTCTTCAATAGCATTGAAAGCCTTACAACATATTTTTTTTCAAGTGGTACGCTATATGTTGATGAAGGCATGATAGTTGAACTTTGACAGGCTTTTTCCTTTTTTTTTCCTTCTTTCTCATTTATTCTGGAATTGTGTTGGCCTGACAAAATTAAAAAGTGTCATATTATTTTTTTTATATTAATTTTCATTGTTTTGATTGTTAGTTAATTTATTTTGAGTTTTTTATAATTTTTTTCAATTTTATTCCTTAACATTTGATTTTATTTAATTTTTATATCAAATTTACTCTTTATTTTTTTTATTGCTATTTTTTTTATCTTTCTTTAATTTTTTTATTCTTTCAATTTCATCCCTGAATCTTTCTTTAATTTTTTTTATTCTTTCAATTTCATCCCTGAATATTTTTTTTTTCATTTTATTTTTATATCAAATTTGATCTTCGTTCATTTGATTATTATTTATTTTTTAGCATTTTTTATTAAGATTTTTTTCAATCTCACCCCTCAATATTTTATTGATTAGTGATTTAACTTTGTGATCTTTTTAGGTTTTGTTTTTAAGGGGTTAGTCCTAGTCTCGTGACTTGGATCATAAATTTTGAAGATTAGCTCGAGTTCACTTTAGTTTTTTTTAATTTTATCTTTTAATATTTAGCTAGTTAGGGATTGAGTTTTGACATGACTAAAAGATTGATGTCTTCT